TTCATCTGTCATCCCTCACCTCTCCTTCCCTCACACACCCCTCCCCCCCCCTCTCTATTCCAGCTGCCCCAGGTGCTATGTGTCCACCTACAGCGGACCCAATGGCTGGACAATGGGGCACCGGTCAAGCGCTACGACCACGTGTCCTTCCCAGAGAACCTACAGATGGACCAGTACCTCTTCTCCAATCAGAACAAGGCAGGCGGGGACGTCAGCGGCCTGCTGGGTGGGGCTGACCTCACGCTGCAGATGCTCAGGTAGGTAGGGCGAGTCTTCTTAGGCACAGCCGTTTTTGGGAGTCGATGGTTGGCGGGTGCTCTGATGTGCTTCTTCTTCTTCTTTCCTATCGAACATCTATCGTCTTTATCTCCCCTCCTTCTTTGTTGTGTTTTGTTAATCTCTTGTAACACCTCTAATCTTCGGGGCAGACCTCACGCTGCAGATGCTCAGGTAGGCGTGGCAAGTCTTCTTAGGCACCGCCATTTTTGGTGCAGAAAACAGATCAGCATTTTTGTGTTGCGAGTCGATGGTTGGTGGCTTCTCTGATGTGGTTTGCTTCTTCTACTTCTTTCATTTCGAACATCTGTCGTGTTTATTTCCCCCCTCCTTCTTTGTTAAGTTTGTTAATCTCTTGTAACGCCTCTAATCTTCGGGCCAGACCTCACGCTGCAGATGCTCAGGTGGGTGAGGCGAGTCTTCGTAGGCACCGCCGTTTTTGGTATGGTACAGGAAACAGACTGAATAATAAATCGGTCGGTGGTTGACGGGTGCTCTGGTGTGGTTTGTTCTTTCTTTCCTATCAAACATGTGTTGTCCTGATCTCTCCTCCTTTTTTCATATGATGGTTGCTGTCTTGTGTAATATTTCTAATCTTCAACACTTATTGTGTTGAAAGTGCTGTATCAAAACTCTTATCAAAACTAAAACTTTTATTTTAGAGACGGGGAAGGGTGGGGGTGTAAGTTGAGATGTTGAAGCAATGCACCTGGGGCTGGCAGGGGTCAGAAATAAGATGTTCATGGAAGAAAAGTATCTGGATAGATAATAACAATACTGGATTAGAAGAAAAGTTCACCTCTCTGTATGAAATGCTCATCATTTATCCATTGCTAATGGATGATTGTCAAGTGCCACATGTAGGTCCTCCTTCTTTGATATCTCTTCTGTCTGTCTGTCTTGCTTGCGCCGACAACCAAGTGATTTTGGTTTGTTTTTTTTCATACCCAAAAATGTGTTCTGTGTTCGTCGGTGGTTGGCGGGTGCTCTGGTGTGGTTTGCTCCTTCTTTCCTATCAAACATCTGTCATACTTATCTCCCCTCCTTTTTTGTGTATGTTACTCTCTTGTTACATGCAATCTATTCTTCGGTACTTAGATGACCTTATTGTGTTGCAAGTTCCGTAATACTCTTACTAAAACTTAAGATATGTGTGCTGTGGTTGTGCCAGTGGAAAACTGCAGTTCAGCAAAAAAATAAGAGGTGGTTTTGTTGCTATTTCTCCACTCTTTCTTTCTTCTCATGTAGTGGTTACTTTTCTCACATATGTTTCTCCTTCCATTATCCCTCTCCATTATCACTCCCCATCTACCTGTCCCATTTTATCCTGCCCAACAACAA